ACCAGAAACTCATTTAGCTGGTTTATGCAGCTAAACCTCATTATTTCTCATGAAAATTATAAAATACAAGTCAAGTCAAATAGCGCTTTTCGCAATACACATTGTTTCAAAGCAGCTTTACAGAAATGTATGTTAATATTTGTAATATCTTCATGCTTTATAGTTGCATTTAGCAGATTCTTGCTGGAAAAACACACAGAAAAAGTCTAAATTAAACACCAAATATGCATCCTTTACTCTTCATTATGTTGCATTAGTGGTAGAAAAAACCCCCGCTTCCTGTCTTTGTCAAGAAGTGAAAAATAAAATGAAAATATGAACGTTTGAGTTCATTTCATTCCGAACAAAATCACTTTCAATGCACGTGTCGTAATTATGTCAAACTCATAAGTAGGAGCCTCTCAGGAGGACTGAGCAGCATTACACTATCAGTGAAGCACAGCTTTATAAGACTGTATGGGCTGTGTTCACTGAATCCTACTATTACGGTGCTTTTTAAAGTTTGACATCCTCTGGTCTGCATGCTTTTGTTATGGAAAAGAGCAGCTTCAGTCACATGGGTTTAAAGTGACATAAGGGCGAATAAATGATGCTAGAGTGTGAACTATCCCTTTAAACATCCTCCACAGACCTGGTTTGCAATCAAGTTATTGATTTTATGTAAAAATGTTTCGCAGGACCTACATCACTATTGAGCAAAGGGCAACACTTGGGAGTGTAGCGTCTGGACCACTCCAACACACAATATATATTTTGTTAGCTAGATTTCAGAGTTTTGATCTCAAACAAGCGCATGTGTTGCCCAAAGCAGACAGTAAATGGCCGGCGTGTGTCTGACCTTCTCTCTCTGTCTCTCTGCCCTCCAGCATGGACACACAGGGGAGGCCAACAGCAGCCAAACGTCCGCCACAGACAACAAAGGTATGTCTGCCTCTCCACACGTCTCTCACATTCACAGTGAAACACTGGGACATTGTATCAAACACACTGTCATTGTGCATTCCACCTGTAATTTAAACTCTATTTACTTGCCAATTACCCAGTGATTATTAGTGGAGTTCCACAGCATCATTAAAGACAGTTTTGCATAGGCACTTGTGTTAAAATATACAATAGTGTCATTTTTGCCCTTGTGAAAAGAAGCATGCTTAACTGCTTTGACTGTGCACTTGTAGTGCACATCAACTATTTAAAATATATATATTTAAATAAATAAATAAATATTGTACGTGTAGGTAATATAAAGTTACTATAATATGAAAGCCACTTAAGTGACTTAAAAGGAGACACTTTCATGACTTTCTTTAAACACTCAAGTACACATTTAAAAAGTGCACTTTGTAATAATGTCAGATTAAAAGTTTTATTTAAAATTTTGAATGTTATGTTGTAATCTTTTTCTTGTGTGTTAAAGAAGTACACTTATTTTTGTGTTGAAGTGCAAAGGTACTTGTAGCATACTTCTAATACTAGTAAGGACTTTTAATTGAAACGGTAGTGTGTTATCCAATATTAGATTTTAAAAGTGAATATGTTTGAAATATACTAAATTACAACTTCATCATTACAAATATATTCACAAGTTTAAATTTACATTGAACGCACTTAAGTAGAACCTAAGTATATTATTTCCACAGTAAGTATGCTAAAGTTTGCTTCTTTTTCGCAAGAGTCAATTTTTTGATGAGTCAATTCACTTATGGTTTGGTCATTGTGTTCTAGAGAAGGCATCTGACTCTGCAGGAAAACCTGAGCAGGAGGAAGAGGTCGACATCGACCTGGAAGCCCCGGAGACGGAGAAAGCAGCCCTCGCCATCCAGAACCAGTTCAGACGCTTTCAAAAGAAGAAGAAGTAGAGATACTTGAACAATCAGGACATCTTACACATGCTTTAGGAAGAAAATGTGAGGAGGGGTAGAAAGCTAGAGAAAGAGAGAGAAGCATAACTTAATCGAGCATGAAACGTATCTAGTCTCCCCTCTGCTGCTCCTAAAGCCACATATCTACCCCCCAAACCCCAAAAAAACTCCTCTTTAACTTCCCCGCTTTTATCTCCGTCCCATATGAGAAGCCATTCTGAGAAAAACAATCTTCTTCTTTCACACATAGAGTAAGCACAGCACACGCTTCAGAAAAGCACAGTGCACACGTCCACCTCACATCTTCTCTGGTCTCTTCTTTCCGTTTCTCTCTGTGGTTTTGAGTGTAGCATTGGACTAAATCTCATGTTTGGTTTGGTGTCAGTCGATGGAAACCGTGCGTCAGCCGGGACTTGACTCCAAGGGGGATGTCAAAACGGTGACAACTTACAAACATTAGCACAATTGAGTAGTCCAGACAAGCGCCTACCGCCTGTTCTAGTCAAAATAACCTTAACCTGAAAGGTATGCAATTTCCTTACCAACCTGAATTATTGATGCACTTGCGGTCAGCGCATAGAATCGAGAGACAACAAGAGCCAAGAGGACCTGGAAGAAAACAGGATGCACTGCTTCAAAAAGTGTCTACAAAGAAGGATAAAAGCTGCAGCCAATGGAAGAGATGCCTAAATACGATGTATTCGTCGGCAAGAAACTTTGCCCTCGTCTTTGCAATCGATCCCGTTCTCAAAGAAAACAGGATGCACTGCTTCAAAAAGTGTCTACAAAGAAGGATAAAAGCTGCAGCCAATGGAAGAGATGCCTAAATACAATGTATTCGTCGGCAAGAAACTTTGCCCTCGTCTTTGCAATCGATCCCGTTCTCCCTGTGACATCTGATCAGAATAGTACGTAGAGCGAGTGCCACTGGCCACTGAAATGAAATCATCGATCGGTTTAGCCAGTCATCGGACAGGATCAGGATACGCTATCGTGTTGCAGCAGTGGTAACGTGAGCCGAGGTGCATACGCGGTATTGACTGATTGCGCTTCCCAACACACAACCACAGATTTAAAGATGCTGGAGAGATCAGACAAGAGAAACACGTGTAAGATGTGAGGAGGAAACAAAAATGCACAAGATTGTTCGCCATGAATAGTAACTCCGAATCCCCAGTGCACAACGTCCAGGCATTCACACTTTTCCTCGCATTAAAATCTGCATGTGGCACACTGACCTGCTCTGAAAAGCCAGGCCTGTATCTACGCTTCAGTCTCTTGTCTCAAACTAATTAATGCTCTATTAATTATTATTGGAATGTAACCTCTTTTTCTATTTAAAGGAGAAAATCTCTTTGCTAAGACTCCGCTTTGTATGAAAGTTACCTTCATAAACTAATGGGCCAATTTACATAGTCAAAATTCTGCTGCATCATTTATGGTAAAATGCAAAAAAACAAACAAATTCGACCCAACCCCATTGGTTTTTCCTTTTGTTTCTACCTCTCGTTAACTCTTTGTACCCACAAGACCGCTTTCATTTGTCCCTCTGTCGTTTTTTTATGGCCCATTTTAAGCATGGCCTCATTCTGCTTCCCCTGAAGGCTTTTCATGATGATGATGATGATGATGATGATGATGATGATGATGATGATGATGATGATGATGATGATGATGATGATGATGATGATGATGATGATGATGATGATGATGCATTAAATTGATCAAAAGTGTCAGTAAAGACATTTACAATGATACAAAAGATTTCCATTTCAAATAAATTCAATATTTTTCTATATAATTATATATAACCTATAGGGTTTTACTTACAGTACTACATTTCTACTGTATTTTAGTATATATAAAAATCCAATAACATTTTATGTAAAGTGATCATAGCACACTTTTAAGCAATGCAATTATAAAACACTTCTGGTACTTTATTTGACTACACTTTAAATCAATTTAAGTGTTAGTGCTAATTAGTGTAGTTATATTAAGTGTACTTAAGTAGCACAGTTGGGAAAATGTACTTATAACTATTACATTGATATATTTTAAATAAAAACAATTTATTTTAAACTTAGGATACCTATATAAAAGTGTACTGACATTGAACTAATTTTTAAATAATTCAAAGCACACTTTTTTCAAGAAATACATTAATAAAATCAGAATATTTTTGTGGTAGTATACTTTATTTCAATGCACTAAAAATCTATTTTAATATCAGTGGTATTTAGTATACGTTTGCAATTGTACTGAAGAACTACTGAAGTGGAAATATACTTTTAATTAGTGTATTTATAATGTATAACTTTTATAATTTTATTTAGCACAAAAAATAAGAATGCACTACACATGTACAAGTATTTTTAGTGCATTAAATTACACTTTTATTATTATTTTTTTAAAATAGTAATAATATTTCACATTATTTCACAGCCTTGGTGAGCAGAAGAGACTTCTTTCTAAAACATTAAAAACAGATATGCATTGCAATGTTTTATATATATACGACTGACCATTTAAATCAATGATTATGGGGAGTGGCTCAAACAGTGAATGGGAATTTTTAAACACTGCTATTAGAGGTGTTTTATACTGCATTGTGCTACAGCACTAACAAACCCATACGCACTTGTATTCTGGAAATAAGCCAAGCTGGTCAGCAGGGGACTGTTGTTACACTGTATGTCACAGTATGCATTCTGTAGGATTTCTAATTAGACCTTGAAAAGAGCAGCCATGAAAATATCTTTCAGCCAATCAGAACTGCTTCTGGGGCCAAGTGGGATTCTGTGAAATTGCTTGTGGTACCAATTTATGTCACTATGGGCAAATGCGCAAACCACTTATAGTCACACCCTGCATGATCTTCAGCCTATAACAATAATAAAGTATCTTGCAACATTACGCAACACGTAATTTAAACACTATAACCATACAGTGGCAATGATCAGTAATCATATAGTGACTTGCACAAAGTGTTCTGTGTGTTCATCAAAGTTGACCTTTAAAAAACAAAACGTGAGTTTAAAACACAGGCTTTATTTAAGTCAGCGACAAACGCTGAAGCTGCGGTCACAGGTGTCTGAAGACCCACCCACAGCAAACAGAGAAAGAGTGTGAGAACAGGTTTTATTCTCACACACCCTTCGCAGGCCAGAGGGACTTTCAAGGAAACTACGAGAAGATCCTTCATCATGCAGTGTAAGTCCTCTCTGTTTATTCAACCTACACAAAGTCTCTTCTCGGTTTATCATTCTATATTACAGTAAATGAGCAACTTAATGGGGGTTGTTTCTGACAAACATTAAGCAAATCAAAGCAGGTAGTTACTCTATGATTATGCTGTCCGTGTTTGTTGCTTACTTGTATGAAGCCACATGTACTGCCCTTGTGAAAAAATTATTGAATGTGCACTTATTAAAAAAAAAAATATTGGCGGATAATATTAGTGAAATAAAAGGCCACTTAAGTGTACTTAGAGACACTTTGCTGAGAATGTTTTACTAACAAACTTAAGTACACTTTGAAAACAATCATTGTCCCTTTGTCGTGCTTCAAAGAAGTACACTTATTTTAATGTTTTGTCCAACATATAAAGCACATGTAAAGTACTTTATTATAAGTTTAACTGTAGTGTTATGCAATATTAAGTTAATATTCTAAATGTACTTAATTGCAACATCATTGCACGACTTGCATTTACAAATATATAAAAACAAATACATGACACAAGTTTCAACAGAAATGGCATTACATTTTAGTCTATAAAGATATAAAGATGCACTTAAGTCCTACTTAAGTACGTCAAAAGTTTGAGTTTTTGTATTTATTTGGACGCGAGTAAAAGAGCAAGACAGGAACAGACGGTTGTTTGGATATGAATGTTGCCGAAGCCAAAGAAAAGCCTGTTGAACAGCATTCCTGAGATGACATGGTGACGTCTGCGTTGTGCTGTTTGCACGTCCTTCACACATCTGATAAGAAACTGTGACTCTGAGCTTATATAAGCTGTAAATCTGCTGTCTCACTTACTGCTGTTAGTGACCATGGCTGGTGAATCAGGACGGATCCATTGGTCTTGTCAACCTGTTGCAGTTTTGTTTATTATATAACCTTTGCATAATTATTTTTTGAAAGCTTTAATATTTTCCACTAACTATGAACTTACAAATTTGTTGTGTGAAGGGAATGTCTGAAACTTTTTAGAAGGCGTGTCTCATCCAAAGGCCCTTTTGTCAGGCTGAGTGCTAGGAACACGGGTTCGAGTGCCTTGTTTAGTAGTACTTCATTAGGGATGTAAACACATCAGTCTCAAATCTTTAATGGCTGACTCCTAAAATGTTGCATTTTCCCTTCTAATCTAGACTATAACTCTCCAGTGAACCTCCACTTTGATTCAGTCTATATTCCAACACGGCAATTTACAAAAAAAACTAAAATCTTCTCACATTCTGGAAGTTGAAGTGATTTGCTGAAGGACACAAGAGCGCCCGAGAGCTCGAGTAACTCTTCAGATAATTGGCCACCTTCACCTGAAACTAAACATGTGACCTTTGTGTTAACAGTCTACACGCTTAACACCTACGCCAACACTCCCGATTTAATGCCAGGCCTTTCATTATGCTCTGATACCTTCACATTCGCCTGGAGAGATTCGCTTTATTCACTATTAAGTGTCATTTATGTTGTTGTTTGTTTTTGTGAATGTTATTAGTGTATGCTATTTTTCCAGTATCTGTTATGTTTTGTCTTGGATTCTTGTTCAGTGATGGGTGTTTGGATTCAAGTCTGACTCTCTAACCAACTTCCCTAGTGCATGTTAACAACCCTCGTGTGTAGTGAGACAGAGCTGCACAAACTGCTTCTTGAAACCTCAACCTTCCTTCTTCCTGCTCTTTTGTCTTGCACTTTTTACTACCTCTAATCTAATCACATCTCTTTCTCCCTCAACCCTTCGCAGGCCCGCAGTCTCCGGCGCGAATCCTGTCAGAGGAGCAGTTCTCCTGCTCCATCTGTCTGGAGGTCTTCGTCGAGCCCGTCTCCACTCCCTGCGGCCACACTTTCTGTAAGGCCTGTCTGCAGGGCTTCTGGAATCACAGCAAGAAGTTCATGTGTCCCATGTGCAAGAAAGCCTTCTCCAGAAAACCAGAGCTCAGCGTCAACTGCGTGCTAGCCGAGATCGCTGAACAGTTCCAGGGTCTGTCCACGATGTCCTCGCTCGACCGGGGCAACGTCGAGTTCACGAATTCCCCACAGAGAGATGACGACTGGGGAGACTTCGCTAAAGCGGGAGAAGTGCCCTGCGACGCCTGCATCGGCCGGAAGATGAAGGCCATGAAGTCGTGTCTGAGCTGCCCGGGTTCGTTTTGTGAAGCTCACCTGCGGCACCATAAGAAGGGGAAGGCGATGGGCTCGCACAAGCTGGTGGAGCCCATACACAACCTCGAAGACAAGATGTGCAAGACACACAAGCGCCTTCTGGATGCCTACTGCCGAAACGAACACGTGTGCGTGTGTAAGGAGTGCACAGAGTCCTCGCATAAAGGCCACGACATTGTCTCCACCGAACGAGAGTGGAAGAAAAAAACGGTGAGTTTTAACGCTTGTATTACATTAAAAAATGGGTATGCTGTTTATGGTACTGAGCGTGATTGGATTCAGTACAACTCTCCAAAAGTTAGACTCTGAAAAACAACAAAAATAGTTAATATTAAACTGTAAAAACACAAAAGTATATTAGTGTTGGGCGATATCCTCAGTTGTCATATCGTCCTGTCATCAGCCTGTGACGATCGCTGATACACAATATTATTGTGCTAGTTTATTTAATTATGTATTTAGTTAGTTTCATTGCCAGAAAGTTAACCAACTCCAGCGTAAGGCTAAAAGCAGCCCAATGTTTTTAATATGACTGAATTTATATTTAACATGATATCAGTTTAATATAAACATTTCTAATTATAATGCTTACATTATTCAAACAGCAGCTACAGAAAACAAGCAAAGAACATGTACAGTACATCATCAAAGAACATCATCACTGACTTCAGTCTACCGCAAGTTTATGCACTTTAAAAAACACTCCCGTTATAATCAGTGAAGTCGTCTACGCTGTATGATGAATACATTCATTATACTTGCATCACACATACAGCTGCACTATGTTGTTTATGATGAGAGGATTCTCGAGAGAGCTGAATTCAGTCGGTGAGCATGCACACTGAACAATAAAACACAACCCTAAAATGTATTTCTAAAACTTTTTTTTCTCCCCCACAAAGTGTATATGTAAATGCTGTCGTGTCACTCAAACTGTAGAGCATGGCACTAGCAACGCCAATGTTTTGGGTTTGATTCCCTGGCAATGCATGAAATGATAAAAAAAATTTTAATCATGCATTTAATGCAACATAAGTTTCTTAAGTTGCATGAATGTAAATGTAAACACCCTCATAGCATAGCTGAGAAACAGACATAGCAAAATACATCAAAGAAACATTTTCATTTGGGTCTGGCAGCTGACTTTAAGAATAAAAGTATGTCAAATTGACCCAAACATTATAATCGTAATAAATGATGAATGCACATTCCACAACAGTGAAATATCTACACCTCACAGGCTTGTTCATGACCCTAAATTAAGACAAGTCACAGCATTTAAAGGATAACATCATAGGGTTCAGACAACTCAAAAATCAAAATGGGTCAAACTAACCTGCTACATAATCACTGAAATGCATTTTGGGAGCTTGGAAATTCAGGAGATGTGATTTGTGCATCTTATTGTTTGGTTCACAGAGTCAGCTGGGAAAGAAAAGGTCAGAACTGAAACATCTGATCAAGGAGCGAGAAAAGAAACTGGAGGAGATCAAGCAGTCCATCAAAGTCCTCAAAGTGAGTCCGTTTGTACTTTGTGATGCTTCTTTTCTCGGAACGGCTGAGCAATATTTGATCATTTTTCTTTGATCAGCTCTATTAGGAATGGCATGTTTTTGAATATGTATTGCATATTACTTGGTGGTCTAAATTTCTGCCATTTGGATTTTTGCTAAAAAGCTACTTTTACAAGTCTTCAAGCTTCAGAAAATCTTAGGACAATGCTAATCCAAAGTAACTAAATGCTTTTAATATGTAACGCATCAGCAACTCATAATGGATGCTAAACTGCAATTGCTGCTTGCAGCTATATTTATCGTGCATGACAAAACAACACAAACAATGTGCCACAAACAATTTGATAGTTATCAATAATCATAAATAGTAATTATCTGCCATCTAAGTCTACATAACTAAGGCAGAATCAGGGACAAACAGGTATCAAAGTGTGATCTCAGCTATGTTCAAATCATTTATAAAAATATCCAGTAATCAAAAACAACTGGAAAAGTCCCAGTACAGACCCATGGTGAAAGCTGCCTCTACCTTAGAATGCTTTGTTGAGAATATCTGTTTACCTTTTGTTTCATCCAGTAAGAGCACTGCAAATATTTGCCCATGCTGTCACACCCCTCTTTAACTGAGAACATGTCCCTCCAAATGCTGAACAACACAAGCAATTCAGGATTAAAGAAAACAGAAAAGCCTTTTGTTTTGGACTGGAAATAAATATAAAACTTGAGTTACAGGAAGTATATTTGTCTTAAAGTGGAAACAGAGCTGACGTTAGTGACAAATATGACATCAATATTGACAAATACCTCCAAAAATTGATAATTTCCATCTGTGATATTTTATCCTTCCTGTGAGATCGGATTCGGGTTTGTGTCAATGACATGCAAGGTTAACGTGCCAGTGTTTTTTTCCTGTTCAATAACTGTAAATAGAGCACAGGGCCATCTTGAGTCACATTTAAAAATACAAAGAGGATCCAATTACATAGAGAGTGGAGGGAAAGAACGACAGAATACCGGCATAAATAACTCATATTAGACTCATTAATGCTTCGTGATAACAGTAATTACTGTAGACAGCGATAAAGATGTCGGAGCAGGTATAGATGTACGGTGTGATGGCAGATGAGATTAACTGGAGGTGTTTGAATCAACACAGTTCTTCAGCGAGTTTAAGCGGTTCAACCGGTCTGTCCTGTCAAAACACTCGGCTGATATTCTGCACGCTCACGTTAACATGCGATCTCATGAGTTACGCTGCATGTGTTTGTCACAAGCCTCTCTGGTCTCTGTCCTGGAAATGTTCTGTGCATTTTCACAAAATAACCTAAACAAAAAAAACCCCCTGAAAATCTGATCCATGTTGGTCTCAAAATCGCAGTTACCGTCATGATCCCGCAAAAATCACCTGTAGCACGATAGTGATGCTGTGTGGGATGTTTAGGATCGGATTGAGTTTTGGTCAAAGAAAATTAAAGATGCACTGCATCTCTGATAAATGGTCTGTTATTTACACCAAAAGCAAAACAAATATCCATCAGGCTGAATTAAATGTAAACTGATGCCATACAATAGAAGGCAAAACATGAAGCTTTCAGCTGCTTTGCCACCTGACTACGAGAAGCTGAAGCAAATTCAGTTTCACTTTCATTTTTAGCAATACAAATATTAATAACAATAATAATATTAACATCACAGATGTGATTTTTGTTATCGTGCTATTTGTGGTTGTTTGTATGGCTGAATTTGAAAATCAGCAGTAAAACATTGGTAAATAAACTCAGATTCCATAAAGTGCATTTGTATTTTTAAACATATTTAATTATCGCAGGTTTGCAAAGAGTATAGGGTTTGTTTCCCCTGTGCATGTTAATTTATTTTGAGGTATACATGATATGCATTGAGAGTACACAAAAAATAGTAAAAGTATGCTTTGACAGTAAATGAGCACGAGGTCTCATTAAAATACAAATGCAAAAAAAATAATAATAATGGTGTCCCATGGTGTTAATAGTTTTATAGGAATCCATTGTTTTTATACACCATAAACGTGTCATAAAAGTAGTCAATACAACAATATACTCTACTGTATTCCAGGTCAAACAATAGCTTTATATGAGAAAGAGACCCACATTTTATGGTGTTATCCACCTCTGCTGGAACTTTCAGATCTCATTCAGAGTCCTACATGTTTTGATATGACCTCAGCATCGCTGAAGTCAAACCTGATGCAACACGTCTTCACCAAGAAAAATCTGCTCGTGAATGAGATGTGAGCAGTGCTGGGGAAAGTTACTTTTAAAAGCAATGCATTACTATATTGTGTCACTCCTTAAAAAGTAACTAATCACGTAACGTAATGTGTCACGTTACTTTTGAGTTACTTTTTAAATCTGGGCAGGGCTTGCTTGTTTGTTTTTAAAATAAAACAAGTTATTCTTTTACAAATGTAAAAGCCCTTTCACACCGAAAGTGAAATGAATACACCTCAGGCTGAAGGAAATGTAAATTCACGTCTGTACAGTAGAGATATTTAATTATTGCAGGTTTGTATCATATTTGTGCAGTGAGATGAGTAAATGCATGTTGGCATTTAGTCTAGAACTATACAGTAACATCATGTTCGCACACAATGCCTCTCTCAACATGGCAACACGAGAGCTGTCAGTCAGTGCATGGGAAAACAAAGTAACTGGCATTGCTTATTTGAAAAAGTAACTCCGATATTTCCTTCTAAATTAAAAAAAGTAATGTGTTACTTTACTAGTAATCTAGTTTTTTAACTCGCGTTACTTGTAGTGCGTTTTTTTGATCTGAGAGCAGCAGCATGGCAGTCACAGGCGAGCTGTATTAGTCGCTGTGTGATAAACAGATGGAGTGTGTGACGCCTGGCATCCTCTCTGTATTCAGGACAGCAGTCAGAAGGAGATCGAGGAGAGCTGGGGGGTTTACGCAGAGCTGCAGCGGCTGCTGGAACAGTCTCAGGCCGAGCTGGTGGAGCTCATCACGACGCGACAGAAACAAGCGGAGCAGCAGGCCAAAGATCTGTCCAGCGGCCTGGAGCACGAGCTCAACACACTGAGGAAGAGGAGCAGCGAGCTGGACGCACTCGCTCAGACACAGGACAGGGTGCTCTTTCTTCAGGTCAGCAATCAAAGTTTCCAGTGAACTAGTGTCTGCATCTGAGCTTTATTAAGCCTAGTATTTCCCTTGCAGTTCCTGCCATCTCTTCCTCCTCCACCGGAGCCGTCTGATTGGTCATCTGTGTCCGTGAACACGGATCTGTATCTCAGCACCATCAGGACGTCCGTCTCCTCTCTGGTGGACAAATTCCAACACGAGGTCAAACGGCTTTATGGGAAAGGTGAAGAACCATGTCCACCCTTTCCATACACTTCCCTACCTTGAATCAAACTGCTAATTTGCATGATCTATGTAACCTTCATGAAGTGTTTATTTTCCTTTCAGAACTCAGGAAGCTGCAAAACTATGCAAGTAAGTGCTATTGATATAAGCATTAGTGACTAACACAGCCTTCTACTGCAACGGATCACTATAATGTTTCGATCTTTTTCAGCTGAATTAATATTTTATCATATTGATGAAGATATGAGAGACACAAATATATTTTTAGGTCAGCGTTCACACTGCAAGTCAATCTGTTCCTCTAGAGGGCAGACTTGAGTTCACTGCCACTGCATTATAAAGTTTTACACTGATTTATGACAAAACCGTTAACTGTAGTAACTGTAGTGATTAAGCAATTGTACTTCATTTCTATACTTCACTATTATTTTGAGGAATATGCCGCTGATCCATACCTACAAACCAGAATATCAAACTTGGGCCAGACAGCAACCACCCAAAACACCCCAATAATTAGAAAATAATAATAAAACCTCTTATCATAACAGCACAATAGGAACCACGCATTAACAAGCAGGTCTCACAATATCTTAACAAAATGACATATTTCACAGGTTTGACTTAAAATTTTTAAATTTTTCTAAACTGAGATTTATACATTGTCTGAAAGCTGAATAAATAGCTTTCCATTGATGTATGGTTTGTTAGGAGAGGACAATATTTGGCCGAGATACAACTATTTGAAAATTAGATTTGAAATTGAAATTGATTGAAAATCAACTATTTGAAAAAAAATATTGAGAAAATCATCTTTAAAGTTGTCCAAATGAAGTTGTTACTAATCAAAAATCAAGTTTTAATATATTTACGGTAGGAGATTTACAAACTATCTTCATGGAACATGATCTTTACTTAATATCCTAATGATTTTTGGCAAAAAATAAAAATCAATAATTTTGACCCATACAATGTATTGTTGGCTATTGCTACAAATATCCCCCAGAGACTTAACACAGATTATGTTATACCTATAAGGAATTATACTCAAAACCATAATAAAATCGGCTGCTGATGAATTAAGTAATATCTCAAGAGCAACACAACTTTTTTTTTTCAGTTCAGTTCAATGAAATGTTAATTTTGAGTGACTTGCATTCCAGGCACAGTATTGTCTAATTTAGTGTCTATTTTTGCTTTGTCAGTCATAAAAATGCTAAAAATCTGCATGATTAATTTTTGAAGTTAAATCAAACTAGTATTACTGGAGTACTTTGATTAAGTGTGTTGCTTCTTAGAAATTATGTGTGAAATTTACAAGCAATTTCTATGTGAAAAACTGTTTCAAAGTAAATTTATTTTCAGTGTACTCTTGTGTCTCAGAGCAACGCTGCAGCTGTGTTTTGTTTCTGAATGAATCAGCATTGTTGAACAGTTGTTGACTCACTCATTTGTTGTTGTTTTTTTACATTCACCAATGAGGAACATAATTGATTTCGGTCTCCTCTATAGGTGAGGTGATCTTGGATTCTGCCACAGCTCAGCGTGATCTCTGTCTGTCCGAGGACGGCCGGCAGGTGCGCTATGAAGAGCAGCGGAAGGGCTCCATGCATTCGGACACGCCGCGGCGCTTCAACCCAGCGCTGTTTGTCCTGGCGCGCGAGGCTCTTTCCTTCGGCAGACACTACTGGGAGGTGGACGTGGGACACAAGACCGCTTGGACCGTAGGAGTGGCCCGTGGGTCGGTGCGACGCAAAGGAGAGATCCGCCTCAGTCCAGAAGGAGGCTTCTGGTGTTTATGGCTGAAGAGCGGAGAAGTAAAAGCTCTTACAGGCAACAGAGTTCCTCTGCATCTCGCCACACTGCCTCAGAAACTGGGCATCTTTCTAGACTACGAAGCTGGACAGGTGTCCTTCTACGACGTGAAGACACGCTCTCATCTCTACACGTTCAACGATGCGTTCACTGAGAGCGTCTACCCCATTTTCAGCCCTTGTATCAATCAGGACGGAAAAAACCCCGGAGCGCTGGTCATCACCGCTGTTAAACACAGCTGAGACGGCAAACTCACTCCAATGCATTTTCCATGAGTTTCTAAAAGATTCTAACAAAACTGAAGACTTTCCAAATGGATTCTGGACAAATAAAACACATTTTCATAAGAGTTCTCTCTGTAAATCTTATAATGGGAACTGGCATGCGTCTAGTGTACATGACTATATGTTACTTTGAAAAGGAAGCAGACCGTTTTGAAACACATATACACTACCGTTAAAATGTTTGGGGTCAATAAGAAAGAAAAGTCTTATTCAGCATGGATGCATTAAACTGATCAAAAGTGACAGTAAAGAAATGTATAATGTTACAAAATAATTCTGTTTTAAATAAATGCTATTCTTTTTAAATTTATATTGTATCAACATTGATAATAATCAGAAATGTTTGTTGAGCAGCAGATCAGCATATTATACTGATTTCTGAAGATCATGTGACACTGAAGACTGGAGGAATGATGCTGAAAATACAGCTGCGCATCACAACAGTACATTATATTTTACAATATATTAACACAGAAAACAGCTATTTTAAATTGTAACAATATTTCACTGTTTTACTGTATTTTGATCAAATAAATGCAGCCTTCACAATTTCATAACTTGTGAATCAAAGTTTAGAATTGTAACAACTTGCTAAAATCCACACTATAACCCAATCATTCATACATTTAAATTTGTTTTTATCATTGATAAAATGTTATGATATGAGCTGAATGTGTATGTGTGATATGACAATATGTATAAGCAAAATGGAGAATTAATGAACTGTATACTGTATATCAGATCACTTATATATTTCCTGTGTTCATTTTTATTATCATAAAATACATATTATGTTATCATTTTATTATCATAATGTTTGGATACAGGGTTCCTTTTCAGAACTTTTGAATAAAATTAATAATATTATCCTTGTCATTCCATGCCATGAATGAATATATAATAGTTAGGCATAACTGCTAAATAAAAGCAACTTGAGTGAGTGAATGGTTAATATTTCATGAAACTTGAAGAGACTCTATGTAGTCAGGGGTGTAAAAGCGAAACTAGGCTATGTGGGAGGGGTGACGGGGGATATTTCAGGGTAACGGGGGGCGTCAGCTGTCCCGCATGTCACTGCTGTCCAGACCAGGACGGTCATTGTGGTCAGTGACATTCGACTACAACAGACTGCTGGTGAGTCTCCTTAAAACACTGTAACTCAATCAAAAATGTTAGAGTCAGTGAAGATGTTTGAAGAAACTGCATGTTCTGCATGTCATTTCAGCAAATGCATAGCTAAGATGTGAATAAAAGGACACGTTTGCTAATGAAAGCATGCCCAAAACGTCTTGAAGGTCTTCTGTTGTCGAATAATATTAATGAATAATAAGTCAAAAAATGTGTTTAATAATCAGCATTTAAAAACGTATAGACTAAATGGTGCTATGGGTCCAAAAAGGAGCAGGAGTCTGGGAGGCCTTGTATTTTTGGAGTGATGTTAATCTTTGGTCCTATGAATAGCCAGGCTTTACATATTCCTGAAGTCTTTCTGTGTCAAAGACTGCTGCATGTTGCTAAGAGCACAAGGCCCTGCGCCAACAGGCGGATTGCTAATTAAATCCAAATGACTTTGTATATTTAGCACACTGCAGAGCTGGCAATAATGCCACCAAGTATGTTTAAAAAAAAAGGACTGGATAATTCATCTGTTTTTTTAGGATTTTGTTCAAATTTTGTTCTAGTTTTATGGGATAACGTCAACATGAGTTCAACACTGATTACTTTCTTAAAACACATTCCTGGTCTTATTGTGCACCATTCATCATCCACACTACTCCATTTTAATGCTCTGAAAGGACCCTAATTTATAGGGTACTGTTATAGGTAATGCAGCCTTTATAAAATCTTAGCAAATAATGAAAAAGTAATAAACAAAATTTGCTTTCTTTTAAGTATGTTGATCATCTAGATTCTAGAGCATGAAAGCTGCATTTAAGCCCTCCTCCATTCTAACATAAAACGTCCTCACAATATAACCAATTTCTGATGGATAATCTCAAATATCACCGTACTTGATTCCATTTTTGTCATAACATCAATATGTTTTGCTCTTAGATGCAACGCATTATGGAAGTAAAATTGGCTGTGAATGCAGGTTTGTGTTGACTTCAATAATATATAAGTGTATATCATCACTGTTGTTTATAAACCACATCTCTCCATATTTAATTTTGGTTTTTATTTCATCCGTTTTCATTAATGAATACTACTGGTCACCCTCTATGTCTGACTCTGGAGTTTACAACTATTAAACCAATTAAATGTGCTAAACAGCTTTTGAGTAAACCTCATAATTCTTTTGGATCCTCAAACTGCAAAACCATATAGCACCACATCAATCTTAAATGCAATGCATGGGTGAAAATATATAAAAAAAAATATTCACTGAAGATGTTTTAAAGTTGTTGTTTTTTTTTTCAAAGTTGGAAGTCTACATCTATTTGCAGGGCACATGATTCTCCATTTGTCTGTACAGGAATGGCATCTCCCACCAGCATGTTAGCGGAGGAGCAGGTGCACTGTTCCATCTGTCTGGATGTGTTTACAAACCCTGTCTCGATCCCTTGTGGACACAACTTCTGCATGGCCTGCATCGGCAGCTACTGGAAGTCCAGTGCCCTCTTCATGTGTCCGATGTGCAAAAAGACTTTCTTCAAACAGCCAGACATCAGCATCAACACAGTGCTGAGGGAAATCGCTGAGAAGTTTAAAGAAATTAAAACCAACCCAGTCGCGAACCTTCAGAAGACAACGCAACCGGACCCAGGACAGAGCCCTGTGGAACTCCCCACAGAAATGCCTGAACTGATTCCTCCTAATGGGCCGTGGGCCCACGTGGTGTCCTGTGATGTGTGCACTGGCCCTCAGCGACAAGCAGTAAAGTCCTGCTTGGTGTGTTTGACGTCTTACTGTGAGGAGCACTTAAAGACCCACACTTCCCGCTTCACCAAACACAAGCTGATCGAACCCGTGCAGAACCTGGAGGACCGTATGTGTAAGAAACATGAGAGGTTACTGGAGCTGTACTGTAAGAAGGATCAGACCATAGTGTGTGTGCTGTGCACAGAGATGGACCACAGGGCACATTACACTGTTCCTGTTGAACGAGGGTGGACCGAGAAAAAGGTAAATTCGCCACTTGTCATGACAACAACTGTTTTTATGGTGGCCTATTCTCGTATTTAGTCCTCTACATATAATGACCAAATGGATGACACTGAAGTGCTTGGATTTATTGCAAATCTCAGGGTGGACTGGAAAGACAGATACTCACTCTGTATGTCACTGATAAGCATAACACACACAATATGCAATACCCATAATGCTCACAAATTAGAGCACAACTATGCCCCTATTTCTCAATATTAGAAACATTTCTTCAATATTAGCAAGAGAGAGGTTTTAAAGTAACATAAAGTAAAATAGTAAATAATCAAAATAACAAAAAGTAACAGGCTACTTATTTAAAAAAGTACATGTTTCATTACTCACTACTTGTAACTCATGAAAAAAAAAACTTGACTAGATCATGTAACTGCAAAGGTAAAAAAGCCCCCAATTATTATCAAAAATAAAATAAAAACAAACAAATAAATAAATAGTTATATTATTTTAAAAGGATCAACTGGCCAAAAGCATCTTCCCCTTTCCCCTCAATTGAAAATAAGTGACAGTGCATGTCTGTTGAATATTCCAACCTCATATAAATAATTGTAGGCTACACATCTAAAATATTCAAGCGAAATCAGAATCAATCAGATATGTTGATATGGTAGTAGAATATAAAAATCATGGTAAGCAGGACTGTACAACAGTAAGGTTCAGGCTAGCAGAGGCTATGTAACATTTTATTTTTTTGGCAATTTCAGCTAATATGTAAAATTGCAGCAGGTGTATAAAAGACAAAATGTGGTATTTGCTACTAAAGTAAATAAATTCAGTTGTTGTAGGAAAAAAAAGGTGGCTATGCTAGATGCGATTTTCAGTGTTTAACACAATACATTGTAGGCCTTGTTTAGGAAAACTGAAGCTGAAGTTCAACAGATGATCCAGGAGCGACTGAAGAAAGTTGATGATATCAAACACTCATTAGAGTTGAACAAGGTATGTTTAAGTGTTTTCATGTATGTCTATCAAAAACTTTAAGTGCTTCAGCTGAGTTAACACCTAATTAGGTGAGGTGGGCTTCCGATCAGCTCTAAAGGACAATCGATCATTTTATCAGCTCTGAAGTCAATGAGGATGTAAAGACCCCTCCAAAAATCCACAAATAATGTCCTTCGAGCACATAAATCACATGCTTTCCACTGTTGCTTTGACTCATTGATAACAACTGGTTTAAATAAACACCGCTACAGAGGTTATGAAAAGCAGACATTCAACATAGCGAGTGCTAAATATCTATCCTGTCGAGTGAGAAAAGGCCGTCTCTGGGCTGGTTTTAAATCGTCTAATCTCGGAGTTGTCGCTATCTCTGAAAAGCAGTCCAATGTTGATACGAGTTATATTACATGCTCTGTCACTTATTTTTTTTTGCTCGTATAAGCACTTCTCTTTGTTTTAACAGTTTATTTCTCAGATCACAACCTTTTTGAATGATCCATTGTGTTGCGCATTAGTTATGGCCACAAGCTTTCAAAACTATTAACACTGCACCACACAGACCTTTATTATTTACGGATGTAACGTAAACATGCAAAGACGCATGACATGAAATCCAACCCGACAGCAGTTATAAATCAAGTTATACATCATTATTATAAGGTATACTATATATATATTGTATTTTATTTAATTTAATTTTTTTGGTCTGCATTGATAAGCGTGCATCTCTTCCTTATCACAGAGCAGTGCTCAGAGAGAAATCGAGGACAGCATGCAGGTGTTCTCGGACCTGATCCGAGCGGTCCAGAAGGCCCAGGCTGAACTGGTGCTGGACATCGAGGAGAAACAGAGGAAGACGGAGAGCTGGGCCAACGAACAAATACATGAACTAGAGCAGGAAATAGATGTTCTGAAATTGAGGAACACAGAGTTAGAGTATCTCTCTCACACTGAAGACCACATTCACTTCCTGCAGGTGGAGCATTTTTACCTCATGCTTGTAATGTTGAACAATTGACATTATCATTTTAAGTGTTAAATACAGGTGTAAATGACATC